TTTCGTCGCTGATGCCCAAAGTATACGCCGGGATGTACGTCAGATTCGCGTTCGAGATATCGTTTAATTAACTCACAAACGCGGCTTCTCGTTCTTTCGCGAGGACTAAAGTCTGGCTTGTCGCGATAAGACCAATCGCGTTTCTCGCCGATCCCCTCGGTCTCGACGTGAAATTCCTTCTCGTTCGCAATCGCGCTCGCAAACCGGGAATTGGCGCGGCGCCGCGACACCGCATAAATCGCACGGTCGACATGAGTGACGTTAACTGCTGCTAACACGCGTGGGTGTGACGCGCTCTGGCGGACCACACAGTGGCTGTTCCCGCTTCTGCCTTTCGCCCTGCCTTCGTTTTCTCGTCGGCTCTTTCGCTCTGTGTTAGCCGACAATTGGCGAGGGACCAAACGCGCGGCCAAAGGGACAATTACGGAGCGATTACAACGGATTACGATTAATAGTGACGTGTAAAATGACAATTAAATCGAAAACGTCTTTTAACTTCGATACTACCGATCGCATCGAAATGATGACTCGTGATTTTGCAAAGATGCTGGGGAAAGAGAATCTCGGGAGCGCTCTTCTTGATTCGCCGCTGCTATCTCCTCCAACGCCGATAAATTATTTTGATCGCTTACTCTACTAGAACGAATGAATCTTGGAAGCCTCTCGTAAAAAATTTGCGCTTGTTTTTGATGTATTTTTACTCCCAAGTGCTACGTCGCATTCCGCTGCTGTATACGTTTACTTGTCACCTCCCGGGTCTCGTGTTTTCTTTTCGTTAGTAAACTGCGTTAGTTACTTATTTAATTTATACGAAAAAAGCTGTGATATAACTGTCAATACATAAATTCCAATCCTGTCTAATTAATAGTTATATATATATATACATTCTGTGAAATATTAATACCAGATTTGATTTCTCGTCCCTTTTTCCTAAAACTTTTTATTTTTCTATTATCTATTCTATTCAATTTCTATCATCATAATTAAAATATTAACTATTTTATTTTATTTAATTTTACTTTGATCCACTTTTAAAAATACATTGTCTCACATGTTCATTTTCATAAATATCTTTAATTGTAATCTTTTGTCGAATAAACTTCACTTCGATGTTCCGCCGAGTGTTTACGCTAAATACAACTATCTAAACTCGAAGCAATAAAACGTAGAAATAACGTAGAACAGAGCAGGAAGTTGAAGAGAGTAAAGGGCGAGAATGTTTCGTCAAGTTGCGCGACTCTCGCGCGATTCTCTCAATCTTCTCTAGGTGCGGCTTTTTCTCGCGGTTCCTCAGCGCGAAAAAAACTAAAGACGAGAGACGAGACTGAAA